ATATAATTTAGGTTTTTAGTTAACTTGTTTCTTCTTCTATATATTTCACCTATTCATGTAGAATAATATTTTGTGGAGTTAGGGATATTAATAGTAGTTTACTTATATCTGAATAGTATCCTGGGATTAGGTTTGGGAAGTCCGGGGGGTGGGTGGGTGGGGGGTGGGGTTTTCTTTATAGCATTGTGAAATATGTGTGGTGTTTTTTTCTATGATGAAAACAATAAAAATTATACTTGGAAGAAGACAATCACAACTGGCATCTTGCTTAATAAGGCAATGAATTATAACCAAAATTCCAGGCTCAATTGTGGTTGTAAGACAGCTACCTGTAATGTCCTATTCTGCATCACATTTTATACTGTTTTGATTATTGTTGATGTTTCTATACTGATTTTAATAACAAAATGATATAAGAGACTTAGCTATATGAATTCTGTAACTTCTTAACATATTCAATTTTATGAAGTTTGTAAATTTCTTGTTTATTTGTCATGTATTTTATATTATTTCTCTTTTGGATGGGCCTCTTTTTTCTTTGTCCTTTTTTTCTTTAAAATGTTTAATTTTAACCATATTAATTACAATTTGCCCTCATCATAAGGAGGATTGCCAATATGAACTGGCTATTCCGCTTCACAAAACAAAACAAAATATGAATGGCTTCATACTGGAAGCCATAGACTACCTCCCCCCCCAAACATCAAGTTTTTATTTAAAATAATTAATTAGCTAAATTAAAACTAAATTTAAAACAAAATAGAATTTTCAAAATTCTGTAACATGTAGCACATGATGTTGGATTCCAGTTTACATGGAAACTGTATCACATACTTCTAAGACTGATTATAGTATGTCACAATGATGCTATCTTTTCAGATGGTCCAGAAACTTTCACAACAAGACTACTTAATGTGACAATGGAATCATATACATAACTAGTACTCAAAGCCAGTAGTTTGAATACAAGCTCAGTTTATTATGCTTATCTTTACAATGCTATTCAGCTCGAAATCAAGTTACTTGGCAGTACAGGTAGTCCTCAACCTAAGACTTCAATTCAACCCAGAATTATGGTTCTACATTGTGACAATTGTTAAAGGAACCAGTGAGATAGGGTGCCTCAGGGGATTGGGGAGATCCTTGGGAGGGACAGGTGCATAAGTAACTCCCAAGGCCTCCCCCACTCCCTCAGGCACACAGTGCTCTTCTTCCTGCCCAGCTGGGACCCACACTGTGGGGCCTCCTCAACCCATCAAGCATTGGTCTACTGACTTTTTCTGAAGATCGCCTTCCTATACAGTGGCTGCATGGTGTCATCCCAGAAGTGGGCACCATTTTGGAAGCAAATACAATTCTGGGATTGTGAGAACTGTGACCACTCCCAAAATGATGCCCACTTCTGGGCAGTACCATGCAGTCTCTGTATAGAAAGGCTGTGCAACAAATCAGCTGGTACTCCTTCCCAAAAGTGATCTTCAGAAAAGATAAATGAAGTGAGGTGTGATGGGGAAGGTGAAGAAGTATCGGACCCAGTGGAATAGGAAGCAAGATCCAGGCCTATGGTGTGAGATAGGCCCAAGGGACACAGTGAAGCAGGAGGGGGGGAGAGATAGGTGGAAGGGGACAGCTGAAAGATCCCTAGGGATAGTTGTAAGGGTGGACAGATTGCAAAATATCTGAATTTTGGGTATGTGGCCATGGGGCACTGCAGCAACCATAATTGAGGTACAGGTCAAAAGTCATTTTGTTCAGCATCATCATAATTTTGAATAGCTGATCAAATGGTTGTAAATTGTAGACTACCTGTAATCCTGGTGGTTAAATGCTCTTTCCCAAGCTATTCAAAAGCATATACGGTAAGAACAGTATTAATAAAAAGAGTGTTTCTAGAATGTGCTAAACTAAAACTCAGTTCAAGAATATATTCAAATTTTTTACATGCAGATGAACACACAAAGTCAACAAAACCTTCTTTTAAAAAACTGAGCACTGTAAATTATTAAATCATCCAAATCCAAAACTGCTATTTTGGATTCTAAGAACTAGATTTCTTTTCAAGATCACACATCCCAATTCATAGAAACTTAGAGTAACTCACAAAATGTAGTGCAAGCAACTAGAAATGGGGAAATTTTCATACTTTTTAGCTTAGTATGCTGTGTAAACATAAAGAATATTTGTAGCTCAGGGTTAAATTACAGGTGCCTTGTTGCCCTCTGATCTTGCTTGGTTTCTTGTAGATGTTTCATTATCTAAATGAGGTAACTTCATCAGTGCTAGTAAAGACTGGGATTTGCTTTCAGTTTATATTTTTATGACTTGCCCTATCAGTGTCAATGGGAGTGGTCTTACAGGTTCTTTGGTTTGGCTGTTAACTGTTCACTTGTTTGGCAGTTTCTTGATTAATGGTCATCTGGGTGTTGACTGCTGGTGGGAAGATGCTTTGGGGGGTTGTTTACTTTTTGGCTTTTTCATTGACTTTTCTGCACAGTATGTAGATGTTGTTTATGTCTATATGTCTATTGATAGCCAATTTGTCAGAAAGCCAAACTTTCAGGAATTCCCTAGCGTTTTTAGACTTGGGTTGATCTAGGATGGTCACAGGTTCCCAGTTGAAACTAAGGTTAAATCTGTCCATATGTTGTAAAATTAAAGAGTTTTCATCATATCTTCTGACTGCTATCAACAAATATCAGCATAGCATGATAAACGTCAAGGAACAGTTGGAACAGACCACCACACCAAAGCACATGGAGAGGCTGGCTACAATCATTATGATTACTTCCCAGAGACATGTCAGAAAAAGGAAAACCAAACTTCAGGCTAGCTGATTCTGTTTCAGAATCTAATCTTTGATTTCATGATGGAGCTTTTTCAGCAAGCTCCCAGGAACTAAACAGGTGGCAGCGACTTCAACCTTCCTGCTGGTTTCACTGTTGACTTTCTGGAGGAGCAGCAGAGAAAATTGTAAATGACAATCATGTGATTGTGGGACACTTGGCAACCCATTGTTAAGTGTAAATGGATTGCCAAACACCAAGATCACAATCACATGACTATGGGTATGCTGCAACTGCCATATGTTTGGGCAGGGTCATAAGTCCCTTTATTCAGCACCACTGTAATATTAAACAGTCACTGAATGAATGATTGTAAGTCAAGAACTACCTGTAGTTCATCTTGTCTGTTTTCTCTCTGGTATACCTAAAAGGCTGACACAACCTTTCCTGCTGAGCTTCTCTAGAAAGCCAGCAGGGAAGATCGCAAGTCTCCCCCACCTGCACACCTTCCCTTAGCCCCCTGCACTCATGCATACCAACCACTCATGCACCCCCATGCACTCATCCTGACTTATTCAGTACCAGCCCTTTCTTTGATCTGCATAGACCTTTTTACATATGCTGTCTTATTTGAGTATCCCTTCAGACCCACTCATGCCCCCAACCCACTCCACAACCTCCACAACCCACCCTCACATCCCTTGCACCCAAATGTCTTCCCTAGCCCAAGAGATGCCTTTCACACATCATCCCCAACCTGCACAATGACCCTCACTCACTCACTCACATCCTCCCCCATCCATTAAGTTATACCTCTCTGAGGGTTTGGGACTTACAACTTCCTGCTAGCTTCTCAATTGATTTTGGTGTAGGAAGCTACCTCACCTAACAATCATAGAATTCAGCTAACAATTGCAACTGGAATTACAGGGAGCAATGTGATCACACTTTATCATCACATCACTTAGAAACAGAAAGTTAGTTCCCAATTGCTATGATAAGTCAGATATTATGTAATATTATCATGATTAACTCTGAATCTATTTTATTAATACTAACCACTTCCTGCTTCATCCTTGTTAATTCCTGTTGAAGGATCACACATTTTTCTTCATTTGCCTTTTCAATAGCTTTGATTTTTTCATCCATTTCTGCCTGCAATTTCTTGTGGGCTTTTTCAGCCATCTGAGCTGCACCTAAAGCCTTCTCAAGCTGTTCAAATGCTATAAAAAAGCATACAACAAATATAAAATGAATTATGAAAATTCAGGCTAAAATTAAATTTTTCACAGAGATTATGTTTTCATTGAATTACTAAATTATTTTTTTTTAAAAAAAGCTCCAGGTTCTACATTATACTTAGTATCCATTTTTTAATCTTCTAAATGTAAGACAATAACATTCAGATACTGTCAATGTGATGGGAACAGTATGTTAGTTTATAAGATGGTCTCTATATTAGAAACCAAGTAAGCATGCTTGGACATAATTGGGCTTTGGTTATGTTTGTAGTATACTAGCCAAACTGTGCACAAAAACAATGCTTATACCATTAGGAAGGAATTCTGTAAGTGGCACACATATCAGTCTGATATGTTAATCTATGCCTTCTCCATCTTTTTAAAAATATACTAATCTTTAGAATGTAGATATCCATCTTACTAAAAGCAAAAAGAGAAGTTGAGGACAACATGTATGATGATCATAGCATATGGCTGATTGTGATTTGGAACATAAAAGAAGAAAATGGCAAAGAACAGAAATTAATAAATGAAATGAATAAAAGAAAAAGAAACAAATTGTGTATATCTGAAACTGAAAGAAAAGAGAAAGATACTACATCTAAATGAAGGTAGACTAATCTTATGGACTGAGTAAAGGAATAAATTGAATTATGAACAAATGATGAACAAAAGACTCAAATCTAGTACACATTAGTATCATTTATCATCACAGGTATAGAATAGGAACTTATAAATTGATATAGGTTACACCCCAATAAATTTAATGGAGGAATCCATTGAGTTTGGAAGTAAATTGCAACATTCCAATTGAATAAGTTAGAATAGGAAAAATTATTCTGCTAACAGCCATGAAATGAATGGATGGGAATGAGACAGAAGAGGTGACTGGACCCATTTGTACATCAAAATTAATAAGAATATGATTACTGGTATCTCCTTAAAATGTATTTTGTTTTGAATGCAGCATGTGTTTTAAGCATAAATATAAACCTACAACACTTTTTCCGGTACAGAACAATGTTTTTAAAAAAATACGATAAATTGCAATGAAAATATGATGTTATGCTAGTAAGTAGTATGAAAAAATGTTGGGTATAATTATGAAGTGAGAGGCCAGGAAGATGATCCTGATGGAAATATGTATAAACCATTACTTGAGAAAAGGGTCTGAAATATATTTTGTATCCAGACAAATGAATAATATTTGGAAGCAGCTCAAGAAGATACTTCCCTGAATTACTGAAGCGTAAGAAGGAAGCGGGGTAGAATGGTGTGGAGCACAATCAGCTGTAAAAGATTCTGTTACTAGAGACCAGAGGTTCTCAAATCCCGGGCTGTGGACTGGTACCAGGCCACACCCTGTTAGGAATCGGGCCGCACAAGTAACGGGCGAGTGAGTGAAGCTTCATTTACACATGTGCAAGTTCTAGGTTGCAGAGGAAACCCATCCCCCTAACCCGAAATTGTTTTCCATGAAACCATTCCCTGGTGCCAAAAAGGTTGGGACCACTACTATAGACAATCTTAAATAAAGTAGTTTTAAATTTTGTTTTGAGTTGATTACCTGTTCTGCTCTACTTACTGGGGTTAATGGGCAGCCCAATATACAGCAAATTGCTGCATACTCCATTTATGGAATTCTTTCTTCGGACATGTTCAATTGATGTGCAAATTAGCTTCATTTCAATGCCAGGTGAAACCTTTCTATTATCTTATGCTTCTTAATTTATTTTTAATTATATATTAATTTTTGTTCTTTTAGTTTTTGAAAAGTTCTCTTGGCTGCCCCCTGATTTCTATGGTGTTTTTATTTTTGCATTTTGTTATTCCTCATCTCTATGTGTTTTTCTATACACTGACCAAAGAACTTTAGCTATTGAGCAGTTTTAAATAAATATGTGAGGCCCAATTAAAAGGAAGTACATTTTTAAATCTATAGATAGAATAGCTAAAACATTTCAATACAAATTAGGATTTACTATTCAAATGCAATAATCCAGCAACATGCAATTCTGGTTTAATACAATTGCAAGCACACAACACCAAGAAAAAAAGCTAGGCACGCAAAAAGACAAATAACTGAATTAGGAAAACATGAAAAAAGACATAACACATCAAAGGAACACATTTGTCTTAAAAAGTATAATCATATGCATCTCAGGCATTCTAACATTGTTATTATGTTACATTGTTATTCTTTCTAGTGAATTCTAAACAAAAAAGCATCTCATAAATACACATACACATGCATAGTAACCAAATTAATTTTTATTCATTCAATGTTTATCTGAATTCAAAACTATAAAAGTAGTTCTGATGTATGTGGAGGGTTTTTTTTATGAGGGTATGTTTTGCAGAAAAGGTTTTAAATTTCTACATTTTCATTATTTTGACAAGACATGGCCATTGTTTTTATCTAAATCTTTTTCTGCAAGCTGGTATTCTCTAAGCATCTCTTTGTAACTCCCAAAATTTAAATTCCTTAAGCAATTCAACCAAACATTAGGTCTAGTGTATACAAATAACATTAAGTCTATGAAATATGTTTACTTCAGTGCTTAAGTTATTGTAACAGAATGCCTGGATGACCTTTGGGAACAGGGGAAGAGATGCTGCCTAGGAAAACAAATCATTCATGAAAAGCAGAAATCCCCAGTGGCTTGGCAGTCAGAGAAAGGAATTTAGGAAAAACCTGCCCTAATGGATCAAGAAGTTGAGAATGGAGGTGGAAAATGTATGCTTTCAGATTTGCAAGATTGATGTCAGCCCTCCCGTGTAAATCAGAGAGACAGGAAATATGACTGCATGAACTAATTCTATTTCATGGTAAAGCTACATTAACTGAATCTCACAAGTCTTAAAGCACAAACTTCTCAACACCATATTTAACTGCTTGATACATATAGCAAGTCCTTCCGAAGTTTTTCTCTCTGATTTTTGGTTAAAGCCTTTCATGGCATGGCACCAGCCTACATGGAGAACTATCTCACCCCAATGGATTGGCCCATCCCACTCACTCTGGCAAAAGGGGCAAGTTTGCAGACCCTGTTGGTCAAGGGACCTGGGCTGCCAGTGTCCAGAGAAGAGCTTTTGCAGCCATGGCTCTCACCTGTGGAATATTAAGCCACTGGAGGTGAGAGACTTGCCTACCCTTTTAGCCTTGAAAAGGCCTCAAAAGTGGATCTACCATTTGGCTTGGGCCCCAAAAGGAGTGCATCATGGTGGAGGTGGCTAGTGGGTTAAGAAAAAAGATCCAACTCCATTCTATTTGCTATTGCTTCCTAGTTTTATCCAATCCTTGTTGTTTTTTATCTTTTTTTAATGCTTTTAATGTTTTTATAATTAGGCGCTTATTCTGCTGAAACCCACCCAGAGTTGCTTTGTTAATAATATGGGCAAACATATCAATTAATAAATAATAAAAATAAATAATGTTCTACCTTCAAGCAACTTACCCTATCTAAATATAGAAAAGAAAATTGATCATTATTTTGTTCTGTTTTAGGAAATATACATTTCAAATGCAAAGAAAATCACTGAATACCAATTGCATCTTTTTTTATTCAGAGTATTCAGTTTTTTCTAATAAAAATAGTTGATGTTGAAATTAAAATATAGCACGAAATTAATATGCAATACATTACCTGCAAGCAAGTTCTATAACAAAAAGCCAAATATTTCAGTGTATTGGTAGATTTAATTGCAATGAATTAAAGGACCCTACTTTGGATATTGCCTGAGAAGCATATAACTTACTTTATAAAGCTTATGCAAGCAACAGTTTAATTATGACAATAAAGAAATCCCTTACCCCAATCCTGTTCATACAAGGCTTGGGAAAGGCACCATGATTCACTTATTGGCATGTGTGGATGCAAAAGATTAAATGCTTAGTGAGATTTTAATGCAATATACTCATTGGAACAGAACCAAATGCAGTAACTATCTTACATGTGCATTTTTATGGATTGTCTTATAACTGCTTTATTGTATGGACTTGTCCATTATATTCATACAAAGTCCCAGGAGTGCACTCTATGGATCTGCATGCAGTTTTTTAATTTGAAGTTTTCATTTTAAGATCTCCTGTATCAAATACAAAATGTCCCATCTCACATTAAAAACATTTGCTGTTTGAGTTAAAAACATTTCAAAAATGATCCAAGCAGCTATACTCAAAAAGGGACAATTTAAATTCAAAAATTCAAAAACATTTGAATATGAAACATTTTGCACATCCTTAATAAACTGTATAATTAGAACAATATAGACCAAAAATTAAGTCTTTTAAAAAGTAATTATCATATTCTTAAAAAGTAATTATATGTTCTTATTGTTTGGCATTTTGTTTTGCTTTCAAATGTGCCAAGAATTGCATTTTTTGCACAGCACTGAATTAGTGGAAGGACTGATCAGGCTCAAAACAGACCCTATGCAATTATTACAAAGTTCCTTCCTTTGCAAATTATTAAACAGCAGGTGTTCAATACCCCTTCCTCAAACAATTTCTCATTCAGTATTTTCTATTTCTCATTGTGTATCTTTCAAATAGTATTTAAAGGGAATGGTCCTTTTGTAAATCAGCAAACAAAACACAGCTTACAAGTTAAAGTTACAATACAAAACAGTGTTAACAGTGAGAGAGAATGAAAAAGGACAGAAACAAAGTGGAGGACTTAAGTTATAATGCACATTGATAAATCTTGCTCCAAATTTGAAGAAAGTCTATACCAGAGTTTTATTATATAGATTTTCTAATACAAATACAGATGATCTCATCTTTTTATTTAAGGAAAAATAGACAGCTGATGTGAAATCACTTTTTTCAGAATGTGATGTACTCCCACCTCATCAACCAACGGACTGTGCTATAAAGAGAATCCCAGAGGCTAAGTTTTCTAAATCGAAGATGTATACAATGGACTGGTTGCTGAATACATTAGAGAATTTCGTAGCCTGGTCGCTTATGTAAAAGGGTGGTCTGAACATATGTTACCACTTCCAAGACAGATTAAATGAAGAACTGTATTACAATTGTCTACCCAGAGGGGTACCCAATCTTCTCAGAGATTGGTACCAGTTGGCTACCAATGTGGAATTAGATTTGATAATTATCGACATCACACTAGTTAAGATAACTGACCTCATGCAGCTGAGAGGCACTCGGCTGGCCAAGGAGCAAGGGAAGTGTTCCAGGGACTGGAAGGGAGAGACCCCCTCTAGCTAAGTGACTAATGTCACTACAAATTAACTATTAATTAGTTAATGGAATTTAGAAGATGACCTCTGCCAAGGACTTGACAGTTCATAATCTGATTTCCTTGAAGATCAGATAAAAATTAGTTGATTTAAATGTAAATGTATAACGTATTTGGGTCTCCTTAAGAAAAAATGCTTAGTAAAAATGTATAAAATAAGGAAAACTAGAGTTCTTTCACCTAAAAACTTCACAACATGTTGTTTCTGCATTTTTGAGTACATATCATAAAAAACTATCTGTACAATGTTCTGAAAGACAAATGCCTTACAACTTTTTAAATAGTGATGCTAGTTTAAATGATTAGAAAAATGAAACTCATGACTATCAGCATAAATGTAAATAAGCGGTGCAAAAAAGAGTCACTTGCTCAGCTAAGCAATCAAAATTCTTTACCAGATTTTGCAGATTTTTCTTTCTGTTTTTTTAGTTCTTCACTCTGCAAAGCCATCTGCTTGATATGAATATGCAACTGGGCAATTTCTTCCTCCTTCAATTCCAGAGTTTCATGCATTTGCCGTTTTGTTTCTGCTATTACCATGCCCTATAAAACAGGTGAATGTAGTCTGTGAGAATATATAAATATAAAACTTAAGCTCAAAAGCAGAATACAATTACTATTTCGCTTCTTAAATCACCCACTTTTGTGGTTGCATCAAAATGAAGTGCTGAGAAAAAATTTAACATTTATTACACAAATAAAATCTAAAGAAACAAAAAGCCAAGGAGAAGAGGAAACGATCTAGAAGTTACTGAAAGAAATATGAACAAACATTGCTAAGTCTATGCTTATCCAAAAGAGGTCAGAAAGAATGAAAAAGAGAAATGTTGTTTCAATAATAGCTATGATAATTATATAAATAACTTTTCATTTTTATTATTAGAATTGACATCACTAAAAAATCATGGCACTTCAAAAATTGTATATTGCTTACTTTATCTTGCTCTAACTGTTCTATCAAGTTTTTGCTTTCACGTAGCTGAGTAATGAATTTGGTCTTTTCAGCCATATGACAATCCTAAGAAACAGAAACAAAATAAACTTTAGAATACTCAAAACAAGTAATTTTCTCACATTCTTCTATTTGGCTATTTTTTAAAAATGTAGAGCCCACTTCTTCCTTAAAATTTATGTTCTAAGTGCTTCAGAATTTCCTCTAGCATTAGAAGATTAGGATGAACTTTCCAACTTATATAATAAATATTGATTAACAGTCATTGAAATATACCACATTAAATGTTCAATAAAAAAGTAGATGTATGGAATAGAAGTGTTTGGCATGTGATCGGTGAAAAAAATTACTATATTTTATAATTTAATTGATTTAAAATTATAATTAACCCAAGAAAAATATCATTTAACATGAACTGCATACCTATGTATCTTTTAGCATATGATGGATGAAAAAATAAATTTGTAACTTCGATTAAACCCAAGACATATGGCAACACTGATTCATATGATATAGTAATACCATCATATATTATAGGCTCTCTTGTACAGAGGGTTTTTTCAGTATTTTAACTTTGTACTGAAAGACATTTTTTCAAATACTGATGTTCCTTTGAATTATATATTGATAATTTAAAACAGAGCAACAATAGAAATAGAAACTGAATGCAAACAAACCCTACACTCACTAGCACTAATGCTGCTGCCTAGTTGAAATATCTGCAAGAAAAACACCACATTCAGAGAACACCTAAGAACTCCACAGCTCAACTTTGACCTACAAATATTCATTTCTATTGGATGTTCTATTTTGGTTTAATTTTATCTGCATGCTATCTAGAGTCCTTATGGAATCAGTCAGTCTTGAAACTGAAATAATAAATAAGATAAATAAAATATGTCCAAACTTTTTGTGGTCTTTACCCCTTTATACATATATATATATATGCATATAACATAAATAATAAACCAATTAAAATAGACTCTGTAAATGCCTTGGTAGGATTTATTTATCCTAATTTTTAAAAAAACCAGCATTACTAAAATCTACATATATATGCTTACTCTGGATATTAACATCTAGCTTCCTTATAAATATTATCAAGTATGACAGAATTTCTATCTTTTAGCATATTGCATTTTTATTATTATTTAGAATTTGTTTTGTCTTGATATTTAATCAAAATGGATTATAATCTCTAACATCTTTTGCTATATAAACTATGTAATTAGTGGTAAAAATTAATATCATGAGAAGCCTTTATTTTTCCAGTACCTTTATTTTCTCTAGCTCCTGAAGCCTCTCATATAGTTGTTTCTGCAGAACTTCTTTCTCACTGGTCAGCTGTGCTAAGCGCTCCTTCTGAGATTTAATTCTTTCTTTACACTGATGAAGCAAGTTTTCTTGATGTTTTACTTGCTGAGTTAGAGTTTCTATTGTTTTATCAGCATTCTCATTACCAACTATGAACAGCAAAAAAATTATGCTCGGTTTTCATTTGACATTTCACAGGTACCGTAATCTGGAAGTCTGCACAGTGCTGCCACTGCTACTCTATATGGGAACTCTTCACATAGTTCCTGCTACTTATGGATTTAAGATTGTCCTTCTATTCAACATCTGTTCCATATTTAAAGTTGCTTGGCTCCAATACATTTGCTCAACCAGTTAAATAATTTTTGATTTCGATCTTCAGAATGATAGGGCAAATCTCATTTCCAAGAACTCTTTCACAGCCCTGTTGGATTCTCACATATTTCCAAACATCACTTCTATTATACACAGAAGAACACTGATCCTACGAAGTTTTAATTCATTACCATTAATCTGACAGAGGGAAGGTTTAACAATATCCTATATTCAGAACAATCTTGTATTTAATCAGGATTCGCTAGAGTCAGCTTTATGATAAATGGTGTTATTTGCTTTTTATGACAATGCTGGCTGAACAGAAATTGAAATTATTCATATCTTACTTTCATATTTTATATTGAAAATTTCCAATGTTTCCAAACTCTGCTTGATCACTACTGACATTTGGAGTTTAGATTTTACTTTAGTGCAAGGGTAGGCAATTAATTTTCTCAAGGGGCTACATGAGAAGCTGGACTGAACCAATGTCCTCAAATTCCATCGCCTCAACTCAGGCTGCTCCAGGCAAGGAGCAAGTGCTGCACAGGAACAGAAAAAAATGTTTTCTTTCCTCACCCTCCCATGGTCATCAGCTGACTGAAGGGAGCATGGTGACTGCCTAGAGCAGGGGTAGGCAACCTTGGCTCTTTTATGACTCGTGGACTTCAACTCCCAGAATTCCTGAGCCAGCATGGCTGGCTCAGGAATTCTGGGAGTTGAAGTCCACGAGTCATAAAAGAGCCAAGGTTGCCTACCCCTGGCCTAGAGCCATACCTGCTTCTTCTCTTGCCCCCTGCAGCATGCTTATTTATATTTGATTTCTAATTTCCAATTAACCTCACAAAGGTAGAGATATCCAAAGGCCCAGTGGTCATAAAATGCCCAGGTCTGTTTTAGAGACTCTTATGCATAATATCAACTAGGCTAGAAGTTTTATCCAATGTTTCTTCATTAATATTTAATGTGCATTAAATTTTGGTTTTATTTGTATTACTATTTTTAATATTATTGTTGCTTTGCTTCACTTCTGGGAGGTTTTTGTAAATCAATAAATTAAATTCATAGCATGAAATTCTGGATTAATATTTTATCTATCTATCTATCTATCTATCTATCTATCTATCTATCTATCTATCTATCTATCTATCTATCTATCTATCTATCTATTTATTTATTTATTTATTTATTTATTTATTTATTTGCTGCATTATTTATGCCATGGATGGCATGGTGGCTCAGTGGTTAAAATGCTGGGTTTGTCAGCTGGAAAACTGGCAGCCTAGGTTCGAGACCTAAACTCCACGCAACAGGGTGAGCTCCCATTCTTGCCATAGCTCCTGCCCACCTACCAGTTTGAAAGCATGCAAATGTGAATAGATAAATAGGTACAATTCAGTGGGAAGGATGCTGGCCACATAACCACGGAAATGTTTTTGGACAGCGTTGGCTCAATGGCCTTGAAATGGATATGAGCATTGCCCCCCCATGGGCAATAATGCTTAGTGGAATAAAATCCGCAGGGACTCCTTTACATTTACCTTATTATTTATGCCAATCTTTAATCTTGAAAACTCATTTTGTGTCTCATTATGTAACAATATAAAATACCGTAATTAAAAGCAGTTAATAAAAGTTATGAGCTTCCACAAAATCATTGTTTAAAACTATGGCAGTGCCTGACACAGTTTTCATGTTTATATTATTTAACAAGAGAATAATTATAATTGGGCCTGTCAAATTTCTTTCAGACAAGCATCTTAAAAACACTTATAATTTTTGAATGAAAATGTTGTTATTTAATTGTTCCCCAGGGTTATCAGGATGGGACACATTCTACTCTTTATACATTGACCTGAGGATTAAAAAGGATTTTTAAGTATTTTACTTTTAAATGATGCAAAACTTCTAAGAACTTTAATTAAATTTATCAGAGAAGGTGGACAGCCTGAGTGAAAAGCAGTTGCTATCATTGTTTTCATGTTTATATTTATCTTAGCCCAGATATTCCAAAAAGAATCACCAAGTTAATTTCTTAGGATTTCTAAATAAATGTAGCATTTTACCACATTTTTCAATTTCTTTCCCCATTTTATTGCTTCTTGCCTTCTATTTTTTCCTTTTCTATCAAACAAAATATAAAACCAGGACTAAAACCAAGAAAATTAAAAAGGCAAACAAAGGAGTAAGAAAAGCAAAAGACATGAAAAAAGAAAAAGAAATGTGGTAATATATTCTACTATAATTTCAAACTTATATTATTAATTTCTTCCAACAATCAGTTCTCTAGTTTGTGCACAACAAATTCACCCTCCCCAAGTAGAATTTTTCTCAAGCCAACAGCATCCATGGAACTGGGAAGTGAAAATTCTTGCTGATAACACTATGAAATACTAAAAAAAAAACCTTAACTAATACTGCTAAAATAGTTTGAAAATTGCAACCAGACAGCCCTATGTATTGGAACTCTGAAAATTTCCCACTATTTCTTTGACATTTAGTTTATTTTCATTTTTAAGGTAAGAACTTACCAGGACCCACCGACTGCAAAGTTTGAACACTTGGATTCTTTAGTTCAATGTTTGTCTCATTACTATGTAATTGTTGCTTCAGTAGTGATACCTACATGAGTAAAATGATGTTACATTCAACAGTCAGGCATATGTTAATATTTACTGGGATTTTCTTTAACCCAGTAACACAAATTTCTGCATTGTAACACAAATTTCTGCATTGTCCTTAATAGTATGCAACTGAAACAACAATAGACAAAAGCCATAGGAAGACAACTCCAGATAAATGGAATGATCCATGTGGCCTCTGCAAAACTTTTTAATGGACTTTCCTTTTGATACATACTATGTTTCAAAACACTGAAAAACACACAGTATGCATGTAAATACATCAAATGAGTTTTTTCTCCCAAATGCTTACTCTGATGAGGCTGGCAGTGGACCAGCGAAAGCTAAGACAGTCGATTTTTAGGATTTGTAAATACTTGCTTTTATTGTTTTAACAATAAACAGCTGTTTTATACTCATTCCAGAGTTCGAGGATTTTAAACCATTAAACCTGGGATTCACATTTTTATAGTTATTAGGGATATATATATATATGTATATATATATGTGTGTATGTATACACACATACACACATACATACACACACACACACACACACACACACACACTGGTAAACAAATCACACAAAGTTGTTAGGGAAGTTATCACATAGTCACTTCATTAATGTTTCTTGTTAGAAATTCTCAATGAAGGTTGCAAATGATGACCATGAAACCATAGGATGCTGCAACCATCATAAAAGCAAGCCAGTTGCCGAAATTGGGAACAAATGAACACGGGGATGCTGCAAAATACAAGGATTGGCAATAATTCTTCTTGTTCTGCACTATTGCAATTGAATGCTCATTAAACAAGGATTCTCTATAAATACCTTAATGATAAGCACAGTATTTAGTAGAAAAAATAGTTGATATTCTTCAAAGATGTTTTGGAAAATTCTCTTTTAATTCAAGCAATTACCTGTGTCTGCAGGACGCTAATAATTTGGTCCTTTTCCTCTAAGGATGCAGCAAATTCTTCTTGAAGATGCCTCTTTGTTTTTTGATCCCTTTTAACTTCCTATCATAATATTTTGACAGAAATATAAAACAACTGAATTAGCTTTAAAGCATGTGTTTGTGTGCACATTCTATAGAAATCTAAATTTAGCTATTTAGCTAAAATTAGCTATTTTTCATGCTACCAATATTCCTTTTTTTATTCTTATATATCTTTAAATCCCTTTGTACAACAGTTAAGGTATAGTACTATTCTTTAAATTTTTCCTCTTTCCTGTGTGGATCTTATTCTATTTTATATCACACCATTTTAACAACCTTATCATATTAAGGAAGTAAGAGACTACATTCTAACACTGAATAGTAACACTTTCAGTCTTTCTCAGTATATTATTATATTTCAAAGAGCAAAAAGAGAGAAAAGCCAATCAGAGCTTTATCAAGAAGAAAAGCTTACAGAAGGGTACAAGTTTAAAAAAGGGAATCACCCCAAGTTTTTTAATGGAAACATAAAGAAAATATAGTTAGAAAAACAGGAAAAAAATACAGAATGAATCTGTAGTGTATAATCCTAGGTTCTTCAGAACCTTATCAGAAGTATCCTAATTAGAAGACTGATAAGAATAGACAAATTGTGTAGTGCATGTTTCAGAGTACAAATTGAAAATTCACATAAAATTATTAATGCCCTGATCTATCCCAATTTTCATAACCAGTAAAACTTATAGTTAACCATACCAACAAAAACATTGTTTCAAATAAAATACAACAGTTTAATAATAATAATTGGGAAGACAGTAATAGACAGTAATGCCACATCTACAAAGAAGCTGAAGAAGCAGTAGACCACCTACTTAGCTGCTATAAAAAGTTTGCACAAACTGATTACAAACAATGACATGACAATGATGCATTGGAATATTTCAAGGAAAACCAATTGCCTGCAAGCAAGAACTGATGGAACCACAACATAGGCAAAGTAATCTACGTGCTCTGGGACTTTATAATTCAAACACACAACCACCTATCACACAACATCCCATACTTAATCGTTGTTAATAAGACAGACAAAACAGTCTGAATAGTGGACATTTCAGGATCTTGAGACAGCAGAACAGAAGGGAAAGAATTGGAGAAAAATTACAAAATATGCAGATAGAATGACTGTGGCAAAAGAAAGCAAATAGTAATAGGCACCTTGGGTGCAGTTCCAAAACATTTGGAGCACAACCTGAATATCATCAGCATTGATAAAAATCATCTGTCAACTGTATTAGGCAGGCTTACTTGGAACAGCTTACATCCTGCAACAATACCTTTAATGATATTAAATAACATCTGTCCATCTCAGGTCCTTGATAGGTGGAGAAAATGCCAGATCCAGTCTAAATATTTGGCTGACTGTCAGGAACTATAATATATGAAATGATTTCCTGGGTTTGTGTCAAATTATGAGACAATTGTAACACCGAAGTTAAGGAGAGAATAAAGCATGTCATTTCAAGAAACCTGAACTAATCTCTCCTCTATGTCATAGGAGGGTAGGTAAATAGATAGATATCACAATATCTGAAATATGCAGCGATTTCTTAAACAATGATGATATATTAAAGAAAATTGGTTAAAAAATAAATATGGTGTTAGCAAATACAGAATTGAAGAACTAGAAAGTAAGCTTAGCTAATGAATAGCGATCAGCCTTCCATTATCTGATCATCTTCCATTGTACAAACTATTTTAAATCTAGTCTCATCACTATAATATCCTGGCTATATATTATCCCACATTCATATTGTAAACTTCAATCAAATCTTCTGATCCAATTTTGAGAATACCAAGGGTAAAAATGTGTTACATTTTGTTGTGCTTTAAGTATTATTCTCTTAATCCACCATAGATCCTTAGAAGCAAATTAATTACACAGTCATCCTATGAGGATATTATCTAAAACTAAGTATGTATCTAGAATGTCTTCTGTAATAATTCTTAATTTTATCTGCTTTTATTTGCTTTGTTATTTTATAATTGATGATGTTAATGTTTTTAATGTTTTACACTGTAAACGCTTTGGACATGAGATGGGAAGCAAATAAATTTCATAATAAATAAATATATAAATATGGGATAAGCATTGTATTAGGACACTCATTCTGCAACTGTTCAAAGTTATGACAGCACTAAATAAGGGGGGCTTATAATCGGACATAAAGATGTGACCATTGCAGCATCTCCACAATTATGTGATTATAATCCAGATAATCAGGTGCCTGGATTGGGAATATGATACTGCAGCAAGTTGCAGTCATTTGTGACTTTCCCTGCCGGCTTCCCACAAACAAAGTCAACAAGGAAGCCAGCAGAAAAACTTGCAAGTTGATTCTGCTGCTTATTTTCCTGATAAGTCCCATTATGGAGTACAAGATCACAGAGATCCCAGCATTCCTCCCATCTGCCCTCACTCCATAATGATCCACGCTGCTCTGCTGGCCCACTTGCCCCCATTCTATTACACCAGCCCTCACCCCATAGTACTTGCCCAGAGCCCGCAACAGGCTAGAGCAGGGATCCCCAACCCCCGGTCCAGGAAATGGTACTGGGCCGCAGCATGCCAGCAACCGGGCCATACAAACAAGCAAAGCTCCATCCGCGGGTTTAAGCAGCACATAAAACCATGCCCCTCCAGTCCACGGAAAAACCTCTCCACGTAACCAGGTCCTAGTGCCCAAAAGGTGGAGACCTCTGGGCTAGAGAATGGGAGAATATGAATTTTAATGCTGCATTAGACATACAGAGGCAAAGGCAACCCACTTCTGAAAATCCTTGCCAAGAAAATTGTGGGGTTAGGATTAGGCCATATAATGGCTTTAAGAAGAATGTGAATACCGCCTATTAATTCTCAGGTTTTTTTCTGGAAAAATCTACATGTAAAACTATAATTAAGAGTTACCTCCCACAGTTCACCAATTCTGCGAAATGCCTTATCCTGACTGGCACAATACTCTCTGAAACAAAGTAAGTTGATATTTTAAAAACCTAACACTTATTTCTGCTGTTTACTGAAGCCCCCCATCCCACAACATATGAAACAGAATGACTGAGCAAAAAGTTATCACTTTTTCCTGTGAAAATCTTTCACACGATTTAGGAAAATTAAACAGATTTGCAGATCATACTCTAACTTCAGATATACTTTTTTTACTAGAGAACAACTCATTGTAAAATTCAAATCAATAAGTGAAATTATATATTTTCTCACCCAGGCACCCTCCATCCCCACAGAGAGGGAGGAAGGGAGAGGGCAGTAGAGAGAGAGGAGAAACATAAGACCGTTTAGAATATTCTATTACAATATTCTGCATCCTTAAAACTAGACCCTGGTGATCTGTCTCACAGAATAAAAAATGGGATTTTAAAACAAGTTTATTGTTCTATCATGTTTTACCCAAAGTGTAAAAAAAATGTTACTTGTTAGTCTATACTTAATATTAGGATATTTTTAAAAAACATTTTAAACATTTAAAACATTCTGAGATAAATCAGTGGAAGCAAAAAGTCAGTAATATTTTGCAGCTTGACTGAAAACCCTAGGCCCAGCAAAGAAACAATATAGGTAGTCCTATGACCACAACTGGGATAAGAATTTCCATTGCTAAGCAAGGTGGTGATTGAGTCGTGCTCAATTTTACAATTTTTTTGACACACTGTTAAGCACTTAACACAGCAATTGTTGAGTGAATCAGGAAGTCCTTAAGCAAATCCAGGTTCCCTCATTGACTCAGATTGTTGAAAGCTGGCTGGAAGGTCTCAAATAATAATCGTATGATCCCTGAATGTTGCAACCTTTGTATAAATACATGCTGGCTGCCAAGCACCCAATTTTTAAGCATGTGAGTTGTAAGTGTGAGTCTGATTGTAACTTTTTTCACTGCTGATGTAACTTTGAACGGACGCTAAACGGACGGATGTAAGTTAAGGACGACCTGTAGTAAAGGATTCATTTCAATCTAAGCTATTTGAAATACTATTAGTTTCTCAACATGTATTTAACTGACTCTCCCTCATTCCCCTCATAACCCCTTCCTACCTCCAGCAAACAGCAGCAGGGATGAAAATTTATTTTTGTTTTATTGGTTAATACATTATCCAATTGTCTATGTTTGAATATTTTTTGTAAAAAAAAAATTTCCACTTGCTTTCTAAAAGCACAGCTTTCATGTGGCTTTTTTAAAATAATCTCATTCTGACTTATAGAAGATTTAATGAATTGTTTAACAATAGTGATTCAAATAGAAAAATAACCTCATCTAGAGATACCAGTTTTTATGTTTTACTAAATAATTGATTATGAAATGAATATGGAACAATACTGGATATTATTGGGTCCTTTATTTCTGTTATGATGTTTCTCTTATCAATCGTTGCATAAAAATATATAGCACATTTTTCACAGTTCTGTAACATGTGTACAGGTGCTTAACAATAATTTTTAAAATAAGCAGTTTTCAGTTCAGCATACTATCATAGTAAAAATTAGTCCATTACTTCTCATGATGAATGACTATAACCATCCAGCAATACAAAAGTAAAAAAAATATCAACAAACTGAATACTCATTATTTCCTTTGATCCTAGTAAAATCATTATTGAGCTTTATTTAGTGGAGTCAATCTTGCATAAGAAACCTCTCCAAGAAAGTGCAAACAAAAAATAGAATTATGACTTATAAAACAGCATTTCACTAACTAGAATTCTACTTGCCCTTATTACTCAGAGATTTCTACTGAACAATATTCCTGACCAACAACTTTATGCTAAGAGTTCTAATTATGCAAGAGATATATAAAATAAGTCAATTGCTAAATATATTATTCTGCATTATTTTTGGCACAGTTTATTTTTTAAAATAAATATAGGGGTGGGAAATGTGAGAAAATCCATCCCAAGAGAATGAAAGATGAGGGAAAATCTAAACTTGATCTATCAATAAAATCTAACTTATCAATCTAGATGATACATAGAGATCACCAAAACCTGGGAAAATCAAAACATGAGCAATGAAATAGAAATGGAAAGTTTCTTTTATTTGCGCTTTTAAAAGAAAAGTAGAAGAGGCTCCATTTTCTTATCCTTTTTCAAGAGAGAAACAAGAGTATTTTTTGCATAGCTAAATGTCTATGGAAATTCTTAATCATCCAAGTCATGGTGGTCCCAAAAGTGCTTTTTCAAGAGGCAACTGGACTTTCTTATTTTTCTTTGAAGACGTTTTGCTTCTCATCCAAGAAGCTTCTTCAAACAAAAACAAGTCCAGTTGCCTCTTGAAAAAGCACCTTTGGGACAACCATGACCTGGATGATTGAGAATCTCCATAGACAAGAGCATCTTTTCCTCAGCTATCTCAAAGCCAAGCGAAGTATGTCCCAACCCAGACCAAAATTGAAGCGTTAATAAATACAAAACTGGAGAAATAGAATTTATTTATTTGAATTTATTATAGCTGCACATTTAAAATAAAAGCTATTTCAGAATTAGATTTTGATTTTTTTTATAGAAAGTGATTTGAATTGTGGTACCATTTTTAATGTTTTGCCTTTCTTATATCTTTATCTCCTTTTTCATTGCTCTTTAGAGATAATTATTGTTTCCTTTCTCTTTATGGTTTTCAAATCCCATATAATTTCTTAACCTTGACATACATAATACCTTATTTATTATTTATTTATACTTTATATTTGAATTTATTTATATCATATATACACACACACAGACACACACACATATACACACACACGCACTCATTTATATGTGAATCAGGCAGGAAATTTAGCCTTTATCACATGCTAACTATCAAATGTGAAGGCAGGAGGTTTGCCATTTTACTGAATAAGCTAACTAAAGAAGGGTTTTTCTCCCAAAATAAAATGGAAGTGTGAAAAGATGCAATGGGGGTCATGGAAATGGGCTTAGGGATTTCTACTTGAGGAAGCCAAGGTACCATCCTAGCAAAACCCAGACATGTGCAAACTTATCTGTAGAAGGCACAATGTAAGACATATGACCACAATTGAGCCCAAAATTTCTGTTATTAAGTGAAACAGTTAAGTGAATTTTGTCCCATTTTACAACCTTTCTTGCTAGAATTTTTAAGTAAATAACTGTAGTTGTTAATAACACACTTGTTGAGTGAATCTGGTTTCCCCACTGACTTTGCTTGTCAGAAAATCACAAAACATGCTCACGTGACTCCAGGACACTGCAACCATCATAAATATGAATCAAATGCCAAGCATGTGAATTTTGATCACATGACCACAGGGATGCTGCATCAGTCGTAAGTGTAAAAAACAGTCATAAGTTACCTTTTCAGTGCCGTTGTAACTTCAAATGGTCACTAAATGAACTACTGTAAGTCAAGAACTACCTGTAATCATTATCCAATTTTCCTCCTTCTCGAAAAAAGAGACTAATTCCCATGGTCTTAAGGATGAAAACAGAGAGCATTGTTTGTTTAATATAGCAGCACTGTATTTTCTAACCATCTATTTAGTGGTCTATAACTGCACAAATTCTTCTCTAGAATAAAGGAGAAAATTTTCTTTTCTTTGTTAGATCTCAGATTGAAGAATTCTTACAGGCAGTCCTCAACTTTTTATCACAGTTGGAACTGGAATTTCAGTCACTAAACAATATAGTCATTAATCAACTCAAAATATGACCACATCATATGATCATTTTTACAAGTTTGTTAAGTGATTCACCAGCATTCCCCATTGACTTATCCTTGTTAGGTGTAATCTAGGAAACCTTAAGTATTTAATTCACCAAGTTATTTTAATACACATTCTTGACTGTCAACATTTTCCCCTCCAGCACCCTAAACTTTGTTCCATTCTATGTAATAGATACAATAAGCACTCCTTGCGAAGATTGTCCACTTTTCAAGATAACTCTTATGCTTCAATTTCAACATCAGAATGTGGGCCAATTGTCAGGTAAGGAAAATAAAAATCCTGTTTATTCAGGGAGTATTTTGAAGATGTCTGCACTAAGGATTCTTTAGAAGAGAACCGAAATAGAGATTCTTTTAAGGGATTTTGAACAAATGATTCCATTGAAGAAACCCAAAATTGAAGCTTCTGTGGAAAAGATCATTACTAAGCTGCAAATAATAAAATAACTGAAATTTATACTGTTTGAATATCATAGAATTAATGTATTTTCATACATACTAAATATTTAATTATCAACATCAATTTACTTCTGAAATTAAATATTATAATGATTAAGAACTACATATATGTTCATATGGCTGGAGGGAGGGATGGATGTATATTTAGACTAAATAATGTAAATTCTGCAATTTTTAACTATAAAAATTACATATCCTAGGACATTATAACTAAATATAAAGCTTTATACTACATACCACTGGAGAAGATGGTTCACTTTCATTATTGCTAGAATTTTGTTTATGTATTATCTAGAAAAAAGAGAAAATATATATCAGAGATCAAATTCCCCTAAATATAATAAGGTATTCTTTGATTTTATTTCTAAAATAGAAATATTTTATAGAAAATATAATACGAAACAATTATAAGAAAAAGCATTGCAATTTCTTTTGGTTGTAATTATTAATTGTTAGTATTTGTACTATGCAGCTACTAATGAAGCAAACTGAAAGGATGATATTTAGTGGAAAGGTTAATCAGCCTCCTATAATATGCAAAAATATGGAACAGATTATATGTAACATGATTAAATACAATTAAATTGAAAATGCTAATGAATACAACTAAACATATATAATATACATATTATGTATCATTTATTATCAAAACTGCGCTCCATAAAGAGAAAGACTAAAAAATACAGGTCTAATTCTCTACTAAGAGGATATATTTCCTGATTATTTTACCCCACAAGAAAACCAGACATGCAAATTCTCTATCCCTGGTTTCAGGAAAAAATCTAAACTGAACCAAGAATGCACAATTGTTTGCAATAGTCAATACTTCTATTACTGTTATAATACCCATGTTTGCAGCACTTACATTCAAGGCTTCAAATGTATATTAATCAAGTATTACTAATCTCAGATCCAAATGAATTTTAGAAAGACTTTTAGAAATAATCCATAATTAAATATAAACATCTTTTAATTGCAAAAATGTATAATCTATACATTATAAATATACACTATACACTATACAAAGAAACACAAGAAAGTACATTTTCTAATTCTGAATAAATTCCTTTTATTTTTTCTCTCATTCCTTGTCTTGTTTTAATTCTTAAATCTCCATCTAATTAGATCCACAAAACATTACTTTCTGTAAAACTAGTCTACAATGAAGAGTTGTTATTCTTCAATAACTTCAACTATGTCAAATAGTCCTCTTTCAAGAACTTACTTTTTACAGGAAAAAGTAGTAGAAAAAAAATATTTGATTTGATTTTAAAAAATCTAAACAATCATATGTAATCAACTATATTACAAAAATATTTTGCATGAATGTTTATAATATGTCTAGCTCAGTGATGTTAATTTTCATTGCAATGTTAAAGTAAAAAGGGGGAGAGGTACTAATGGCCTCATATGGCTCCTAATACTCTATCCACAGCCTCTCAACATCCTGAATTCACACCATGTAATATTTAAATATCAAATAGTTAGATTTGGGCATCAACATTTCAAATCATTTATTTTAGGTTAGATATGATTTTAAGAGTAGAAATTGGAACAGTTCATCTGATTCTTTGCTTATATTCTTATTCTTATACACCCTTCCAAAGGCAGTAACTACTATAACAAAAGAGGCTGACAAATTTAAAAACACCTCTTTCAAAGAAATCATATCATCAAATGATCTCCTTGGATTTTTCAGAAAGTTGAGATGCTGAGTTACAACCCCCAGTTTCTCAAAAGTTGCCAATTGCTAATTAAGGTGAGTTAACTGAGTGTAAGCATTCTGTAGTACAGGTTAGCAGCATAGTATTTAGTATGCTTTAAAAATGTAAACAAAAAGCAGAATTATTTTTGGCTTCTAGTATTATAGTATCCTCTTGGATCTGCCAAGCCATCACTGTGAAAGATAGAGCAGTGGGGACTCACCACACACTCACTCTTTGGCTTAGGTCGTTTGGTAGGATCCAAAGCAAAAACAGTATATTCAGAAAGAAAAGCAGGCTCTGATATCATCCCAGCTAGCAGCTGTGACATTCAATGAATAAAGCAATAAAGTCAAAAATAACAATAAAGTAAAAGGAGACAACAGTAAAGCACGTTGTACTTTTATCACAATAGATTTTCACATTCAAGTCATAAAACTGCAAATATGTATAGGAATTCATACATAACTACAATACATAGATTTTTTAACAGATGTTCTAATCAACCAAGATTTATATATAAGCATAAATGCATAAAACAGCAGAAAAAAATTGTAACTGTGAACACTGTAAGAATTCATGAAAGAGTAACAGTTCTAGGATCTATTTCAAGGAGTCTTCGACTTATGACTGCAATTGGGACCAGAATTTTGCTCACTAAGCAAGTCATCATATTCCAGATCCAAGTTTAGAACCATTTTTACCGTAGTCATTAAGAGAATCATATGGTTGTTAAACAAATTTGGCTTCCCCAAATGACTTTGCTTGTTGGAAGCTGGCTAGGAAGGTTGCAAATTATAATCACATGATCACAAGAGGCAGCAACAATCATAAATGTGAGCCATTTATGTCATTGAATTGAGATCATGTGAATATAGAGGTCATGTGATGGTTCTTAAGTTTGAGAATAGGTTGTGATTTTTTTCTGAGCCCATCATAACTTTGAACCATCATTAAATGAACAGTTATAAATCAAAAACTACCTTTAATGTATAGCCCAGTTTTATACCCAGAGTATTCTAAATACTTAATATTAAAAAATCTCCCTGCACATCAGAATGTGGGGAAAAGATTTAAAAGAGTAATTGAACATCTAAGCATATGCAAATATTAAAATCAGTCATGTCAGATAGATGTTGGAAATGTAGACATAAGTCAGGCACTTATTATCATGTTTGGTGGACTTGAGACAAAGTAAAGAGTTATTGGGAAAAGATATATGCCTGGCTAGAAAAGATGTTGGGAGAACATGTAGATTTTAAACCTGAACTTTTTTTATTAGGTATAATGCCAGAAAAGATTAACAAACAAAGCATATATTTGATTTTGCATATCACAACTGTGGCAAGAATTATATTTGCACAATACTGGAAAAATGAAGGAATACCATCAGATGAAGAAACACTAGAATGCACAGAGATGGATAGACTGACTATGAGACTGAAAGAAAAAGAAGAAATGGAATATTATCAAACTTGAGACTTATTTTATCGATGGCTAGAGGAAAGAATAAAGGATTAGGAATTAAATATGTATTAGTGAATGTAAACTCAGACAGCACGTTTGTTGAAAAACTATTACTGAATGTATTGAAAAAAAACAAGAAAAACTTTCATAAAAAAATAAAATAAAATCATTCATATGGAGAGGACCAGCTAAAGCAGTGGTTCTCAACCTTTTTAATGCCGCGACCCCCAACCGGTCGTAAGCGAGGACTAAACCGGTCGTAAGTTGAGGACTAAACCGGTCGTAAGTTGAGGACTACCCAACTGGTCGTAAGTCAAGGACTTTCCCTGCCCGGGAGCACCACGCATGCGTGGTTCCGCCCTCTGCGCCGGCCAAGGCGTAGCTGGCAAGCGGCAGAGACAGAGCAGGCCGACCACCAGCTGGCCCAGCTCAAGGGAGGTAAAGGGGAAGGGGAAGGTAAAGGGGAGGAAAAGGGGGAAAAAATGGCGGACAGCCTTGCTTGGCGACCCCCGTGAAATGGTCGATCGACCCCAAATGGAGTCACGACCCATAGGTTGAGAACCGCTGAGCTAAAGAGATATACTACACTGCTTTTCTAAAAAAGCAGAGTCAAATACCATATCCAAGGAAGATCATTTTACAACTTAGTAAAAAAACTTCCTATATCAGTGGTCCCCAACCTTTGGGGCACCAGGGACCAATTCCGTGGAGAGAGGTTTTTCCACGGATCGGAGGGGATGTGGTTTTGTGTGCTTCCTGCATCTCAAAGATGGGTTTCGTTTGTTTGTGCGGACCTGTTTCTCGCATGCCGCAGCCCGGTGTCAATCCACGGCCCAGGGGTTGGGAATCCCTGCATTAGACAAAAGAGAACTGTACAGAACAACAAAGACCACTGACACATCAACAGTAGGCAACTGCTCAGAGCTTCTGGATACAGCCTGGTAATGAACCACTGCACAACAGTTCTGGCCAACTTTCACATAGTGGCCCAAAAGAATACTCCAATCAATGAGAATAAAGCTGCCAAAAGATTAAAATATACTAAGTAGGGTTCATACAATTGAGCCCATAAGGTCACCCAGCAAGATTGTCAACTAAGCAATTCTTAGTTGCTTAACTCAATCCAACTGAAATGAGTCTAGGTCAGTAATGGCGAACCTTTTAGAGACCGAGTGCTCAAAAACCAGCCCCTCCCCATCCCGCCTGCTCCACCCCTCCCCCTGCTCTGCCCCCAAACCCCGCCCACCCGCAGGGCCACTCACCGCCTCCACGGCCCACTGCAGATCGCCCAGGCAGCCCAGCAGCGCCATGGCTATGCCCTCCACCCGCGCCCCGCAGCATCAACTGTGCGTGATGGGGCGCAAGGGTGGAGTCTTGTCCCTGCTGCACTGCTCAGCACAGGCCATGCCCGGGGGTGGCTCTCCTCCAGGGGGGCTGCTGGTGAGGAGGGGGCCACAAGGGGAGGCAGGGCTGGGGTGATGGTGCGCGTGCCCACAGAGAGGGCTCTGAGTGCCGCCTCTGGCACACTTGCCATAGGTTCGCCACCACTGGTCTAGGTAACTAATCTGAAGCTACAGATTAGTTTTGAATAGAAGCAATGTATTTGAGACAAATTTGTATTTACTCACATCTACTGAGTCACAAAGTATTTTCAATACATGTCACATAATGGCTTCTTTAAATCAAATAATTAATCATCAGCCACCTCTCAGCAAGACTAATTTAATCATTCAGCCTATAAGGTCAAGGATCAATTAAGGAGCAACCCTCATAACTTCAAATATACTGTTCACATCTTACATTTGCAGTTGAAATGAATCTAAAACAACAAAGTAGTTACTAATACAGTACTGAATTGCATTTGTCACAATACTGAAGCTCAAATAAAGATAGATCTGAACATCCTTAGTACTCCCCAAAATTTTATTTTATTTTATTGGTTAAATTTATTTGCTGCCTATCACTATGAAGCTACTCTAGTCAGCTTACCACAATAGAAAGGAAGAAAAACAATAGTAAAACAATAGAACAATAAAATTAATAAAACAGAATAAAATAAATAATAAAAAAGAAAACAATGAAATATATCAATATGGTAACAAAAAGATGGAAAGGTAGAAA